TGTACTGGCTAGGGGAGATTGTGGGGCTCCTGGACGGGGCTGTCCGGCCACTGGTGCCGGAGAGCGTGGAGAGAAGCAGGCTGGAGGCTCTGCTGGGGACACTGGCCCTGAGTGAGGAGGAGAAGAGCCGTCCCTTCAACCTGGAGGAGTTTTATGGGCGCGTGGGCCATCAGCTGGACCTGGGCGAGATGCTGGTCCGCTGCACGTTTGGCAATGAGGAGTGCAACGGCAGCGACTTCCAGACGGTGAGTGCCCAGTGGTGGGTTATGCCGGGGGGGGACGGGACACGGGACAGGGAGGGCAGGACACGGCCCCTGTGGCAGTACCCACAGCACGGGGCACTGCTGGGGTGCGGACCAGGGGATCCTCACCTGGCCCCCGTGACCGGGGGGATTGGGGGAAGAGGAAAGCTGCCAGGAGTCGGTTTTTGCAGGCTGTAAGTCTACCTGCTTTCAGGTCGGGTTTGTCGGATCGGGGCAGAGCCGGGGTGTACTGGGTTGGGCTGGGGATGCTCCGGCAGGGCTTGTGCCGTGAAGCCACGCTGAGAGGTGCAGGGGAAGGACGGGTCGGGGAATCCATTCCCGGCACTCACCCAGCCTGGCTCAGTTCCAGCAGAAGCAGGTTGCCACCCGCAGCCTTCCTCCAACCCGACCGGCAAACCTGGCTCCTCAACCCCTCCTGCGGGCTCTGGGGGAGAGCCGGGGTCCAGAGGGCTTGTGGAGAGAGGGAAGGCAAATCCCTGCCTGGAGGGCTTTGGAAGGGAGCAAAGCATATCCCATCCCAGCAGAGCAGGGGCCAGGGGATGGGCTGCATCCAGGCAGGGGTGTAAGTGAGGAGAGAGGGGCACAATCCTGCCCACCCAACCAGCGTGGGGATATGCCTGGGGGCACCAGCATGGGGAGGTGGCCAAACTCGAGTGCTATCGGAGCCAGAAGACGTTACAAAAGCTCATGAAAGTCCCAGTGATGGATGATGCTCGGCTCAGGTTTGCACCATCCCAGCTCGGCCAAGGGTGCGGGCGAGCTGCAGCCCCGGCGTGGGGGTCCCGGGAGACACCCGTGCTCCACTGGGGTGGGGAGAGTGGACACACAGGGGCAGGGACAGGCAGGGCTGTGCCAGGACAGTGCCCCATGCCGGGAGTTGGCACCCCATCCCTGTGGGGCAGCCTGAGGGGCTGCTTATCCCTGCCTGTAGCCTCCCCGGGGCACCCAGCGAGGGACCACCGCTGCCGTGCCGGGCTCTCCCGGCTAGCCACTGCTGACCGTCAGATGCAGAGCTGCGAGTCGGGTGGGTCCCTAATTTAGCGTGACGGCTCCGCTCGTCGCACTAATGAGAACAAAGCGGGGCTGCGGCGCGGGGCCCTGCGACCAGGTGTCAGGCAGCTGGAGGGGGGCACAGCCATGCGCCGGGAGAGCGCCGCCGGCGATGGGGGACCCGCAGCCACCTGCACGGGCCAGCTTATGCAGGATTGTGGCCAATGCCACAGCCGGGCTCGTGGCACCCTCCATCATCTTCCCACCGGCCACAGAGACCCCAGTGCCCACCCAGGTGCCACAGGGCTCGGGTGCATGTCACCCCGGTGTGCTGGAGCCAGGCGGACATTGCGCAGGGATGCAGGCAGGGCAGAGGCGATGCCCGGGGATTCAGGCAGGGCAAAGGCGATGGCCAAGAGATGGCCACCTCCTCCCTCCTCTTCTCTTTGCTCCTGAGTCAACAGCTGAGGATTACAGGGCTGTAAACAAGGGGATCAATGGTGCTGATGGGAACATTTCCTGGTAATAGCTCCGGCCTGTAAAACACAGCAGCAGGGGGAGGAAGGGGAGGCTCTGCTCTCGCAGCTGTTAACCCTTCCCACTCGCAGCCCTGCGCTGGCTTCTTGGTGGCGAGGGCTTGGGCTCAGGTCCGCTGGGGCCAGGCGAGGGCTGGCTGCTGCTGTGCCGCAGGGGCAGGAGTGCCGGTGACACTGTTTCAGCCCTGGGGACCTGGGTGACTGGCTGAGGGCCAGGCTGCTGTGCCCCGGCTTGGGCAGGCACCCAGGGCCGCTGGGCACGCAGCGAGGTCATCGTCTGCTCAGGGGTGGGATGCCAAGCCAGCGACGCCGGAGGAGGCGTCCTGACCTCTGGGGCTGCGGGGCAGCTCGCTTGTGCTGTTCGGAGATGGCTGTGAAGAGGCAAGTGTCATCCCAAGGAAGAGCTGCCAGCACCGAAGGGAAATGTTAATGCCATCGTAGAAGGATGCTCATCTCTGGTTCCATGGTGCATTTGAAGACGGGGGCTGCTGTGGGCAGATGGAGAGGTGGGAGCAGCCGCTGCGGCATCACCTGGCTCCCGAGCAGGTCGGAGCATGCCACCAGCCCTTCCCAGCAGCCGGGGCTGCAGGGCGTTGGGCAGGTGAAGATGCTTCTTCCTGCTGGTTGCAGGGAAGGGCACCCAGGTGGGCAACGAGGGGTTTCCTTCGCCTTTCTCACACACCTATGGGGGCACCTCTCCAAGGGATCCTAGCCCTGCCTGTTCTCATCGCCGCCACCCCCCTGGGAGGAATGGGTCCCTAAGGAGGTTCAGGCACCAGCCCTGCCCCAAGCTCATCCCTCTGCCCATGCCGTGTCTGCCCACCTCGCTGCCAGCCGCCTTGCTGCTCACCTCCACATCCGGGCAGCCCCGAGGCACGCCACCACCCCAGCGCACAGGACTGTCCGTCCCATCGCCCCGGCATCAATGCCACGCACCCCTGCCTCGGTGGCACCCCAGGGCACTGCCCTGCACGCACACAGCTGCACCGCTGCATGCACCGCTGCATGCCACGCGCTGTCCCTACAGCCTGAGCAGGAGAGCGGGTGGTGAGTGCCTGGCACTCCAGCAGATGCCTGCATCCCTCAGCGGGCACGGTTTGGCCATGGTGCCCTCCACCCGCCCTGCTCGGGGCTGGCAGGTAAATGTCAGCCTATTTTTATCTGCTCCCCCACGGGGCGGCTGTTCCTTCCATTCGGATGAGCAGATGTACCTCCATTTCTCATCCTGCTGGGGAGCGGGGTTAATCTCCCTGAAATTCACCTTCCCTGTCTCTCCCGGAGCTGCCCTCCCCGGGGCTGGGCAGCAGGGGATCACGGACTAATCCTTCCGAAATGAGTCGGGCTGCAGCGGGGCTCTCGGCATCACAGCTCAGGAGCTCTGGAGAGCATCACCTGCGGGTGGGGAAGGAAAGCTCCCCCCTCCAGGCTGGCAGGGGTTGCGTCCTGCCCGCGGCTCTGCCAGGCTGGGCTGACTGTGGAGGATGGATGGAGAAGGTGCTGGGATGGAGCGGGAATGAGCCATGGGGTTTGCTTGGTGTTGGCTCACTGGGAGGCTGGGGACACGGGACACGGAGGATGACCCAGGCAGCATTGAACAGCATCCGAGCAATGTGTAGCCAGCAGCACAGGTAATGGGGCTGCAGCCAAAACACCGCCGTTGGGTGCCATCTCGTGTAATTGTACCTCTTTCCAGTTGGGGTTCCTGGCCGGAGCAGTCCAAGGCACTGCCGAGGGGCTGGCGTGGTGGCCAGGGCCACACGCTGAGTGATGGTGTGTGTAATAGCAGGGCTGGTGGGTAATAGCAGCCTTGGAGTCCATCAATAACCCCACTCCCTGATGGATGCCTCCCTCCCCTCTCTGCGTACGGACAGCAATGCTTGCCATTGTCCCCACCACACCGGCACCGGTAGCACCGGGGCTTTTGGCAGGTCCAGGAGGTGGCTGTGCAGGTCACCCAGACACCTTCACTCCCACCTTTGCGCCTCAGACCAGAGCGGATATTTTAATGTTCTATGAATAGTTTTACCCCCTTCAATTATTGATCCAAATTTACAGCCGGAGCTGCCAGCTCAACAACAGGCTTTCTCAGGAATCAATCTGGGATCTGGCACGGGAAACTGGGGGCAGAGGGGAGCGGGGGGGGGCGAGAG